TACCCATATGCCTATTGTAACTACATTTCATAATAAAATATTGTAAAATTAAATTTTAATTAAAGGAAAATGTGGACATGTGTGATATCAACCAATCTGCACTAGCCCAGTGTGGTTGAATTAGGGTAGGGTAGATTTCTAGCACCTCAATTAGGATGTATGAGTACTGGTTAATAAGATGTAAAATGGACAAATATGAAATGATTCATAGAGGCTAACATATTTTTTCCACCAAACTATTAATTTTCTTTCTGTATATTAAATTACCGCATAGCATATAATGTAAATACTGACTAATGATTGTGACAAGGAGCTGCAGCGCGCGGTGATGGCGGCGAGGCCGGGCTGCATGGCGGCGTGGTGCGGGGACTCCGCCAGCGAGAAGGTGGCGGAGTCCGCGGCCAGCGCCACATCGCTGCAGGCCAGCAGGCCCAGCCCCACGCCCCAGCACGCGCCCCACAGCCCTGCGCACACCAGCTTGCTGTGCTGCTCCAACGCGCTCAGCAACGACCTGCGACACACGCACTACCACACTCTACATACAAACCAACATAAATTCCATTGTCTATCTTTTCAATTTAAAATTAACAGTCTATAACACAAAATATTGAACATCAGTAAACTACAAATCTGTAAAATTAAATCCTCTAGTTAAGGAAAACAGAAATACTAGCCTCCTTTTTGAAGTCTGTAAAAAAATTTAGCAAACAATTGTTACATGTTCATTTATTAACTTACCGTATGGACTCGGCTATTTCAAATGCATTTTTGGCTCTTGTTTTGTCATCTTCATGAAGTAAGGGCCTCATGTCCAGTGGGGAGCACAGGGAGCCGCACTGGGATGTCAACAGGGTCACTGATATGTCATTCCTTGCATCAACATAGTGCAATACCTGTTCTAACTCCTTAATGACCTGAAATTTTAAATAGAAAATTAACACATATGGTTTTCATGATTTTGGCATTTAGTATTTAGTGTACACTTGCCTAAGGTGTAAAGTATATTAAGACTTTTTTCTTTATATGTCATCAAAGATGTATCTTGGTCTCAATTTATAATTACAAGTTATGAATGAGATATTCTTATTCAAATGTGAAATTACAAGTGAAAATAATAAGCTTACCTCTATATTATAATTGTAGTCATTATGTACATCTATTTCTGCTAATCTGAATCCAATATTTAAAGTCAAATATTTAAATTTCCTTTCATCATCATGTGGCAACAGTTCCTTCATCCTCTTTTGTTTAGGTGGTTTATCAATTTTGCTACTATCCCTTTTTCTTTTATTTAAAGCAAGAGATAATTTGGAGTTAAGCTTTTCTTTAATAGAGAGACAATCATCCCTGTTAATAATTTCACTGTTATTTACAACTACTGAATCAGACATGAAACCTTCCGTTGGTTGATTTGACAGATCGCCTTCTGTAGTTTTATTTGCATTATCATCTTGAACTACTTTTACATTGTTTTGTGTTCCACCAGATTCTACATCACTTAGCCTCCGTGGACTCATACATGTGCTGGAATATGAACTAGAGGAATGACGGCGATAAATGATTGAATCATCCGCACTATGAGTCTCAAAATCTTCTACAGGAGACTTAATGGAACTACTCAGTGATGTCCTGTGTTTCCCACTTAAAATTTTTTTCGGATCACCATCATCATATTTAGATGAATCTTTCTTTCGTTCCCGAAACTTCATTTCCTTACTATCTGGAGTGGAACTTTGAAGCTTTTTTATAAATTCAGCCTTAGTTTTGACATTCTTTTTACCCTTAGGAGCTTCAGGTGTCAACTGATATATCATGTTGACTGCACCCTCATCCATTAAAAGCTTATCAACCTCTGATAACCTCTTATTTTGCTTAACATTTTTAGGTGAAGGCTTTTTCCACTGCAACTTATTAGCTATAGGAGATTTTGATTTAGATCTCACAGATGATACTTCAGTCTTAATTTTTTTGTTAGGTGAAAATTCTTTTTCTACTTCATTGCTTTTAATCACAGATTTACCTTTTGTAAATGTGTCCGGGTTATCTGGATCAAAAATAACTTTCTTCTTGATGATTCTTCCAAGTCTTCTATGGGGCTGACCCTCATCACCACTTTTATTGGATTTCTGGCTATGGTCTTCACTAGTTGCTGAGTCTACGGATGTTCTAAGCAATTCTTCTTTATTTATTACTGCCGGTTGAATTTTACTTTCATCAATTTCTGTCTTATCAACTAACTTGACAGATTTATCAATTTCTGGTGTTTCCTCATCATCCCAGTCTTGCACTAATACATTTATAATGCTATCAGTTTTTTTCTGTTCCTTCTTTTCAGTTTTTTTTGGCTTTTGTATTCGTTCCATACGAGTCCTCTTTTTACCAAACTTTAGTCTTGAAAGTTGCTGCAAAGCTAGCTGAGCTTCCCGAGATTTTGTATTTGCTGTTGTTTCCATTTCCTCTATTACTTCATTTTCTGGTGTTTCAGCATCTTTACCTTGTAGTATATCTAACAACTCCTCTTTGTTGAAAACTTCTTGACGTCCAGTACAATTGTTGTTTTCCACATTATCTGTAACATCAGATGACCGTAATACTTCACTAAGTTCAATACTCTGGTCAAATTCACTCAAAATATTTTTTGCAGCTTGTTCATCAGAATTTGTCTCATTTAAGTTATTTTCTTTGACATCATTACATTCAACTTCAACTAATATCTCGGTCTTAAATCTAACTCCATCCTTATAAGACATTTCGTCATGGTTAATGGCAACTGGTGCTTCTTCTTCACTTATTTCTTGCACCACTACTGTTTCTTCAGAGACTACATCACTTGAGGGTTCTTCATTGGGAAGAGGAACTTCATCTGTTGGTGCAGCTGCAATCTCTACTTCTTGATAAACAGTTTTCACTAAACTGTCAATTTCCGTAGACTCTGGGTTATCCTTCACTTGTTCCTCCTGGCTAATTGCAGGCTCACTTACGGGTTCTGTATTACTTTCCGGAAGCGTGGGCTCTTCAATTGTGGTCGCAGTGTCACTTATTGGTTCAGGTTCCGCAGTATTTTCTTCCTTCTCCTGACTTTGCAGAGTTATGTCTGTTTCCGTAGCGTTACCTTCATCGGTCGGTTCAACAATATCACTCTCAACGACTCCATTAGATTTATGACATACATCCTTTTCTTCACACTCTGTCGAAGTATTTTCGGCTTCAACATTAGTTATCACATCATTAATTGAAGTATTCACCACCGGAGGCTCTTCTATTACTTCCATTTTGTCACTTGTAAGAAATTATATTTGTAAATATTACCCTACACTGTTTATAGTTAAACTTAAAACAGGCTAACCTATTATGTTGACAAATAAATGAAATAAGCAATCAATCTTAATGCAACACAAAAATATCTTTGCCGTTACATTATTATTGTATTACGTTTATTTTTGAAACTATTCATATTAAGCAGTGAAATAAAATGGATTCTAATAATCTAACAAGCTATTCACTTCGTCCACTTAAGATTTTTTTCAATGCGTCGTCGTCCATTTCAACTAAAAATGTTGCCACCTGTGAAATTCTAAAAACTTGTCAGAATACTTGTTTTAAAATAAGATATTTTTGTCAAATATTTTTTTTTTTCAAATTGATATAGGAATGTTAATATAGCCTACCTACATTTTTGTAATGGAAAACAGATAAGGTCTAATTTTTCACTTACCCATTAATTTATATCGCATCGCACGGATTAAATTGTTCTTTTTTTTTTAATTTCTTAAATGTCAATGTCATTAATTGTCTGAAATGTCATCAAAGTAAATTATCGAATGCTTGAAAAAGTTCAAAAATATTAAAAGTGACTCTATTATTCTATACCTGAGTGCTATTCCGACTACAGTTAAATTTACTTGGGCCTACTGCGCAAAACATAAAATGCAAGTGTAATCACAATCTTCCTTTTTGGGATTCGTGTTAATATACATTTGTTTTTAAAATGAATATTCTACCAAAAAAAAGGTGAAGCTCTTATTTATGTATTATTTCTTCCTATGAATGACAAACATGTCTGGGAACAGGTCACGAATCTTCTTGTAAAAATCTCTCTTTTCTTACCTCAATAATTTACTCTTTACAGATGGCACGTAAGGACGAAAGAAAATATAGCGAGGGTTAGGAAAGATGAAGCTGAAGCAGCTGAGAAAGAAAGACAAGAGAAGTTGCGTATAGAAATCGCAGATAGAGAAGCCCGCCTTCGTGTCTTAAAACAAAAAAGTAAACAAAAGTTACAAGATTTAGATGTTAAATTATGTGAGAATGAACCTACACCATCGAAACCTGGCCATATCAATTTATTTGACGATTTAGAACATTCTGTAACTACAACTAATAAAGATCATGACTTGGAAGCAAAAGAAAAAAAGGAAGAATATGAAAAAAAGATTGGTTATTTGACTTATCTTGGGCAAGATACCAATGAGGTGCAAAAGAAGAAAAATTGGTATGAAGTGGCACCAGAATCATCTAGGTTTTCACGATCCAGTGATATAAAGGATACATATGATAAACTTGTTTTAAAAGACCCTGATGGCAAACCAAAGGAAAAAGAGTTAGACATAAAAGATGGTGAGGTATGCTGGAAAGCCAAACAGAAATTGGATCCTATGAATGCTTTTAAATCATTTTGTTCACATAAGTATAAGACTAATAAGGAAGGTGTAAAAGGAGTCTCTTCAAAGATTTCAGATAAAAAGTTAGGTAAACCTAAGAGTAAAAATAGTAAAAGTGAAATGAATAAAGAAGAAAAACTAAAAAAATTAAGAGAAGCGCGGCTAAAGAGGGAACAACAAGAGAAGTACAAAACAGAAATGTTCTTGAAGAAACTTGGTGGAGCCGACACTCCTACTGAAGAACAGCCTAAAATACCTAAGGTAACACCTAAATACAATTCCCAATTCAACCCGGAATTAGCAAGACAGAATTATAGATAAAATAATACTAACATTAAGAATAGATTAAAATAAACTATTAGTTTCTCTAAAAGAATCAGAACCTGTGGTTTTGCATACAATTCTACATTGTATAGTTACATATATGAAATCACAACATAAGATGTATAATAAAGCTTTATTTATTAATGTTTACAATAATAACATACTTTTATGTATTAAAATATAAGCTCTGTTTAACATATTATTTATAACTTAATTTGTCTATATTTAACATTGCCAATGGCAACTTATCTTCCATTTTCTCAAATTCATAATTGAATGTTTCACAAAAAAGTTGCAATATTCTCATGATGAAAACACTTTCTGCTGACACTTCTGTTGCTTTTAACCTGCAAAAAATGTTAATTCATTTACATATACATATTATAGTAAATAATAAAACTTTTGTTATTATGTCTGAGTTTTAGCAATAACAACATATCACCATACTAAATGGATATATCAAAGTTTTTTTTCATCACCACAATAATAATTTACTTACTTTGCAAGACTTGAAACTTTTGCATAATGGCACAGAGTATCAATGAACACTTCTGTACTATTTGTTTTGCTCTGTCGCAATAATGTGTAAATGCCAATGAGGAGAGGAAATCCATCCATATTTTCGCCTGGTTTTCGAGTAATTAGATCACCTAAAACATTAACTATTTTAAAAAAAAAATTGGCAAAGAATTTAATAATAAAAAGACGAATAAAATGAGTTTGCAAACAATACCACAATCTTTTTAAAAAATTATAAAATATTACCTGTACAATAGCTTATTTGCAGTTTTGGTAATTGAGATATAAGAACAATTGCCAATATTCGACCCATATCCGTGTTTGTAAATTCTTGAGCATGTTTTATGTAGACTTTCTCAAAAGGCGAATTTATACCGCATCGTACGAGATATTCATCTAAATCGTGCAATAAAGCTAATGGAATGTTTTGTAAATCACTTCTGCAACCTTTTAATTCGCTTAGTAATGCCCTGGAAACATAAAATACTAGTATTGCCAACATTCAAAATAATTGCAAAAATTATAATTGAAGAGGGAGTTTGGGATGAACAATAGATTACACTCAGTTCTTAGACCCACTACACACTTGCTGTTACACATACAGTTAATACTGAAGGTGAGTAAACAACACTGGAACTTTATAGTTGAAATGACAGTTCTAATTTTAAACAAATACGATTTAACTGAACAGTTCAACTGTACGGTTTAATCTGCAGGCATATGGCGGTTTTTTTTTTCCAACTTACTCGTTCATAGTCCTTAATGAGGCTTCCAAATGAGCCGAATCGAATTTACATGTTGTGTTCAGTTGGTAAGACACATGTTTCCGTAGCAATTGCAAGCCACCAATAAGTAGTAACGCATCAACTATTTGTTGAATTATTTTCGTGTATTTCGCTATAACTTGCTCCATTTCTTTCGGGTCCAAGTTTACTGAAGCTATCGTGAATTTGTCTTGAGGATTTCTGAATAACACTTGAATTATTTGCAATTGGTTTTTGATCATGAAAGCATAAAGTATATCTAAACCGTGAAGTCCTACAACACCGATAGCGTCGTTCAACTTAGCAAAAGTTTTTGTATTGACTACTTCCTTTTGCGTTTTAACATCGTACCATGCTGTACAGATATTTATGTATGCGGATACCCTGCAAAAAGAGTATTAATACATCAATGTTACGAAAAATAAAATTATTTAGTAGTCATTTAATTTTACATACCTTGAATCAATGAGGCTTGCAACTTGTCGTGCTAGAGATCCCATGAAGCCAGCAGAGGGCCCGTACAGCGACACGCCTTTGCGTAAACTGATCTCTTTGTTTACATTACTGTTAATTATCGTTGAAACCTTAAAAAATAGAGTCATGAATTGAACTGCAACCTTTCGGTTTACTAATCATTATTTATTCTAAGACATTAGTGCCGTATTTTTGTGCAATATGTCGAAGGTTTTTTATATCTAAAGATGCTGTAATAAATATCACAAGAAATCTGCATATGTGTATAATCATACCTGTTTTTGCCAAATTCTTAAGCCATGAATATTTATATAATCCTGTATATACTCTAAAGATCGTTTATAACCATCCATACTCTCTGATAGTTTCTGAAGCCGAGTGAATAAATTGCCAGGCTTCTTTCCCTGTGGTTCCAGGAACTCATTGAACTTTTTACTGATGTGAGTGTCGAGTTCCCTCAGTAATCCTTCCTCAAGTAATTCCGCCGGATCAACTCTTATAACACCCACCAATGTTGTTCTCATGTCTAAGATACCTGAAAAGAAAACAATATATAATATACGTTTTAAATTTCATTTGCGGTGCATGGCTATGATGAATTTCCAGTCTAATTACCTGTCGTAAAGGTTGATGCAGAATGTGTAAGCTTTGCAATTTCCATCCGATGCTCTAACTGAGCGTACTCTCTTAACTTCTCCTTCTCTATTCTAGTCGGTACTTCTTTTATAGTCCATGTTTGTAGATCTATAATCTTTTCCACAATATTGAAAACCATTTCTGGTATAATCTGCAGCACTTTTTGTATATATCTAATCAACTCATTACTGTAATACTGAGAAACGGATACAAGATCATCACTTTGCGCTTGATTTATTCTAAGCAGTGGTATTTCCATTGCACTAGCTATTTTGAGAAATAACGACCTTAGTCTACTTGTGACAACTGGATTCTCTTTGATGCTGTTTTGCATATATTTTGTATACAAATCTATCGTACACCATGCGTAACTAAAATCAGCGACCGTTTCCAATGTAACAAGAGAATCTTCTTTCAGAGATGCTATTCTTATAAGATTTCGTAAGGCATCTTTTCCTTCAGAAAGAAATTGCAATATTGTTGAAGTACTTTTAATGCCGTGAAACTCTTCAACTTCATCTAATGCTTGAATAAGTTGGGTAACTTTTTTTATAGACTTACTGCTAAAAGGGTCACCCAATGATGATACTTGCTTAGAAATATTTTCTATCCAAAGTTTTAATCGCTCATTTTGAGATATTTTAGCAAATGGTTTTGATGATGAGAAAAGTTCCGATAGATTATTCAAAGCCTCTATTGCGAGAGTTTTATTAGATTCCCAAGTTAAGTTTTTACTCTCTAAAAGTTTTTGCAGGAATTCCCTAACTTTCAATTCCAATTCAGCTGTAGTTATTAACAGCTCTAGTGCATTAAGTGGATCATAATTAGATTCCTTTAGAACTAAATCTCTGAGTTGTTTACCCTTTTTGTTAGTGTCGAAAAATATGACATCACTATTGTGTAATATTAGCCATCGTAAAACATGATTGGAATTTATGATAATGTTTAATATTTTACTGATATTATCAAGAACGAAATCATCAGTTAATGTTCCTTCTTTAAGCAACTGTCGCATCTTTGTGATCAATACCTGTACAGAACTTCCTCTTTTGCTGAATATATCTTTAACCATTTTATTATTGCAAGTATTATGCAAAGAATTTTTAGCTGCTTTAAAATTTTCCCAAAAATCAACAAGATTTAGAGTTACACCCATATAAACTGGAACAATCCAGTTGCATGGGAAAAACTTATCAGCAATTTCTCGCATTTTAGTTGTGTCATTATGTAGATAATGTGGAGTGAAGAATAAACAGACAACCAGCATGCTGGCTTGTGTTGCGAGGGCTGATGCCTGATGTTCAGGTATAGTATACACTGCTAATTGATTGTAAATATCTTCAGATCTAAGTTTTCCTACTACTTTTTCTACAAAGTCAGGATGAATGGGTACTCGACTGAAAATTATTTTAAAATAAAATAAAACAGTACAGTTTTTATTATTTCCTTAAAATCTAACACTTTTTTGAATTGCACTGTAATTTTAAATGGAAATACTTACCAAAAAAACTCCACAGGATAATCCAAAGGTTTTTTTGAGTGTATTTGGTCATAACCGGTATCGCGTAACAGTTTGCAGACATCATCCACATTAGACTGAGACTGGCTGGTGCTGTAGCGATAAAAAGCAACCAGTAACCTCTCCCTCACTTGTCCAGGGATATACAGATCACATAGCAACAGCATTGATCCATAAAGGTACAAAGATTCACACTAGAAATAAATCATAATAAATTCAAGAAACATAATTCTTTTACATCATACATATGTTGTTTGAGAATGAAGTTTTCATCTCACCAAAAGTTGTTTTCCTTCCACATCTTTCATTACAGTCTCAATAGTCTGTTGAATAAAAGCACCATCATTCAATTGCTCGACAAATGTGTTCAGATCAACTATATATTGATAAATATTCTCAAATAATAAATAAAACCTTGTTATAAGTTCCAAATATTTTTCTTTAAGATCATCATCTAAATCTTGCAGTTTCTGAAACCAATAGTTTAAAAATTATTAAACTTATTTGAACCTAAGATACAGAATGACATAATAACTTACAATATTAGCGTTTATCTTTTTTTCTTGCTGGTCTGAAACCTTAAAATAACTAAAATCCAAGATAACGTCTTGATACTTTTGTTGTAATTCTTTAGAATCTAATCTGCAACAAATGAACAAAGTGAAAATGGTGAGATCTATATTTGATGATAAAGAATATATGTAAATAAATAGTAAACATAAACTTACAAGTAGATTAAAGGAATATGATCCTTAAGTCGCAAAACTTCCGCCAATATAGCATTTCCATGAGACACAAGTTTTAGTAAATTTTGGGCACAAGGATTGTCTTCTGCTAGAAACACCCTCATTGTATATTAAAATAACTATTTTATTTCATTTAATTAAAAAGTGTCTCAAAGTTTTAGCATTTGACACTTAAAGTAAAGTCTAAATGACACAATAGTGACTGTCAGTGAAAACTACTTTAGTTGCCAATATTTCGTAGTTTTGAAATTATTTACACACAATATTTCGCCAAAAGTTTGATTTTTTGGAGTAAAACTTCACTAATAAAAAACTATTATCATTCGGATTGTCTACAATAACGATATTAAACAGTTTTTAAATAAAAAAGAAGGTCAGTTAGTTGTAAAAATCGTAAAAAAATAATTTAAGCGTTAACGCTGAATTTGTCTCTCTATTTTAATCTGTAATTGGTAGGATTTTAAGAAGCACGATAATAGAAACTCCAATACTTCTGTCAAAGTCAAACAAAAATGGAAAATCAATCGTTGCTCGCCGCTAAAAGAAATATGGAAACATATTTGAGATTCTTAAGTATATAATTATCACAATTGTACCATCATGCGGCGAATGTAGCGGTAGTGCTCTTTGTTCAGAATGCGTCACTGTTACTGGACAACTTGAATTGTTCATTATTTTCTATTGTCATTAATAATAATCGTTTTTTTGAATGAAACATTCAATTCTATTTGGAAAATATTCGCGTGTTGACACAACATAAATTTTGCAAGAAAGAATACAGTCGTACAAGATGTCCCGTTCTTTGTTAAGTTATGAAACCCTCGTGCACGCTATGGCAGGGGCTACGGTAAGCATTAGTTTCTTAAGAATTTTCAAAATAATTTATATCAATTGGTCAAATCTTGATCTTTGTTGCATACATTCTTTCTTAGATTATAAATCCGGCACATACTGGTGACTGCAAAAATTATAACAACAATCTAATGTTTTATTAAACATCATACAAACTTAACTCTAGCTCAAACAGTTGACTTCCTACTACGGCTTAACATTTATAAACTATGTAGACCATACCATAATATTTAAAAGCGCATATTTAATAAAATGTTTGTTTTTTAGGGGAGTGTAGTTGGCATGACAGTTTTTTACCCACTAGATATACTGAGATCAAGACTTCAAGGTATGAAAATATCTTATAAAATACAAAATGTATTTTATACAATATGGAAATAGTAATTAAAATCTTTCACGTTTTTTGCAGTTGATGAATCTGACAAGTTGAAAGGATCTCCTTGGGAATTACTCTTACGCCTAGCAAATGATGAAGGTGTAATTTCATTGTATCGTGGGCTGGCACCTGTTTTGCAATCACTTTCAGTGTCAAACTTTGTTTATTTTTATACTTTCCATGCACTTAGAAGAGTAACACCAAAAAGTAATTCTGCTCTTCAAGATCTAATGTTTGGAATTTTAGCAGGTGTATTTAATGTTCTCATAACTTCTCCTCTTTGGGTTGTTAATACTCGGATGAAGTTAGAAAAAAATAATTATGGTAGTCTAGTTGAAGGTTTGTGGGAGGTTTATAAGAAAGAAGGATTGCATGGTCTCTGGTCAGGTACAGTGCCCTCCCTGCTTTTGGTTTCCAATCCAGCTATCCAGTTTATGGTGTATGAGACAATGAAAAGGAAATTGATGTCTACTGGTAAATTTGACAATCTCACAGCTTTTATTGTTGGTGCATTGGCTAAAGGTGTGGCAACAACTTTAACTTATCCCCTACAACTTGTGCAATCTCGACTTAGAGCTGGCACTAGTATCAAACCATTATTAAAGGATATTAAATCAAAGCCCTCAATAGCTTTCCGTGGTCTTGAAGCAAAGCTTTTGCAGACTGTGATGACTGCTGCTCTGATGTTTCTCATATATGAAAAGCTTGTCAGATTAGTCCTAGCTATTATGAGAGTAAAAATTGTAAAGCGACAGTGAAGTAATCTTAACAGACAACCATTTATTAGTACTTTGTAGTTTTCACCTCAATTTATCAGTTGCTATAAGAGAAAATGTTTACAAGCAAAAAATAAATTATTCACTCAGCCCATTGTCTTATATAACAAATTTTTAATGCTGTGGATGTAAATTATAATGAATCCTTCTTAAAAATATATGATGATCTAAAAACAAAATTATCAAAATTAATTTGAGAATATTTCCTTAACATAAAACAATTAGCATTGTTTAGAAACAGAGAATCCAAATCATTGAATACTCAAGCTTGTAATGACAAAATATAATTGAAATCATGTTTTTTTTATTCTAGTAACTTGTTCCAAATATCCTAGGTATACTAAAATTTGTTCAACACTTATGTTATGTTAAAATATTTGAAGCTCTTTCTTAGATAATGTGGTAAAATTATTTCACACAGAATGGCTTCATGGTGAATAATATGGTATAAGGTGTACTAATTTCTATGATTTATTTAATTTATCCTTAAGTTTACATCTTATGCTGGTATATAATGAACAAATATTTTCTTTGTTGTAACTTGTATGAAGTGACTAATGTGATAAGGTTTGCTTTGAACACAAACTTGTTTTCCTTTAAATAGTCACAAATGTAGTTTTACTTGAACATTTATGTTTATTTTATTACTTGACATGTAAACATGACAAAGTTAAGTAATGTTTAATGTTTGTTTTGTGGTTGGATTTTTTATTTATTTTGTAAGACAAGGTTACATTTTGTAGTAGAAAAATTTACTATTTCTTAAGTTATCATTCCAAAGATGTTTGCCAGTTTTTTAGTTTTATAATGATGAATTGTTTATAGTTGACTTTCAGTTCCACATGGGTTGGGATTCTATGTGTTTAATTTATGTGTCATTTGAGGTTTCCTCATTTTATTTCACATCATCTTTAGCCTGTTCTAGGTTGGACACATGCTTTTTCCTGATTGATAAATACTAAGTAACTGTAGACAATGTCAACATTTGAGTCCTCTAAATAAAAACATAATATCAATGATTCACATATACAATGTTTAACTATGATTATTGTTGGTTGCAGTATTTGGTTTTATGGATGCATTTTATCCATGTTAATGTTATAAATCTGGATTGAAATTTATTTTTAACAGTATTGTGATTTTATATTGAAAATAGGGTATTGTCTCTCTGTATTACTATGACAGTTGTAGGTATTAATGATTGTGACAAGAAAATTTAATAAAGATTATTTATGATTCATTAAATTAAAAAAATACATAGAAAAGTTTTATTTTTTCTTAAATATTAATTAACGGAGGCGAACTGGAGTGTAAGTTTTATATTTTCTGATATTCTGACTGCGGCGGTAGTGTATTCCTTCACCAGTTGTTGTAAATCATCGTACAACTGAAACAATAATATTTTATATTAATTTGTTATGATTCACCGTTATGAAGATAATATAAATTTTGTGGAAGATATTTCGCAATAATAATTGGGAGTGTATAAGTTTAACTTTAAAATTAAACTGAAGTCATGATTTATGCATATAGTTAAACATGATGCACACAATACAATAAAAGTAATTCTTATGTGAAGTAACAAAAACTAATCAATATAATATGTACACTGTAAATTGTTCAGTACTGATCACTTGACTGATCTTTATAACAAAAAAAAAAACAAATTATTTCATTTTATTTCACTTGGTATCTTAAAATTGAGACAGTGAGTTTAAATTTATTATCAGCAGAGGGCACCGTTCCGCCGCCACGATGAACTCAGTTGAATTGAATCAGCGTAATCTAGACACGCTACTAATTCGTGCTGTCAATAGAATACTTATACATCGGACTAATGTCCATTAAAATTATTTTTAGCCTTTTCAGATGTGCTTGTAGTTTGGTATGTTAAATGGAAAAGTACACAACAGTTTATTATGACGCACTTCTACGTTTAGGAAACATAGTCTAACTTTAACCATATACGAATAAAGTAAAAAACCCAGGTTATTTTTAGAAATGTGTAGACGATAAAAGTTTTGCACTTTAAAAAAATATGTTTGTATTATGATTTAATTTGTTGATAATAATTGAAGATTCCAGTTTGGAATTGAGTATTATCATACAAAAGTCTGTTAATATATGCATAAATTCAGTTCTGACAGTTTTAACAGAATAGTTTGACGGTTGAGAACTGAGAACTTGTTGAAACTGAGAACAATAGACTTTGATTTCAAAATTAGAAAATAACATAAACAATATTTCAAACAAAACGAGTAATAAATACTCATAAGGCATGCTAATTGATACGCCCCACAAAGGTTACTTATATTGTATACAGGTAGAAACATGTAACAATAATTGAAATTTACGGAGTTGCTGAATGGACATTGAACCCATATATATTTATGCAGACATGTGTCTGCAGTCTATATTCATGAATATTCCATTTGTAGTATCTATAATATTGAATAAACATATATGGACATTTAAATTAACTAAAAACAGGTGATTTGAAATTGCTTCCATAAAATAAAAGTAGTTGACAAATACATTAATATAACAACTCTGGAATACCCATTAACATACTTAGTTTTAAAACACAAATTAATATATGCATTTTTGCAAGATAATGTATAAATCTGTGTGATTTTATACAGATAACCTTCAACAATACACAATGTCATTAAAAGATCGTAATAAGCGAAGCATATTGACCTTCGATACCTGTTTTTAAGGCTATAAGCGCAGTTACTGACGTCCTAGCAAACTAATTATGAGTTTAAATTTTTTGGTAGACAAGCTTTCGCCTGCGACACCGTCCGCGTGAAAAAAACAAACGAATACAAGAAGCCTATGTGTTCTAGACTATCCTACATTTATTCCAAATTTCGTCGAGATCCGTTCAGCAGTTTCGGTCACAACAAAAGCATACGAACCTCTTTGTATTGTGGTATGTGAGCGAGCGCATGCAGCTCGGCCAGTAGCAGGTCAGCGAGCGCGAGCGGGGCGGCGCGCGGCCGCTGCGGCGAGCCCGGCGCCAGCGCTAGCAGCGCCGAGCGCAGCGCGCCGCAGCACGCCTCGCCCGCCTCCAGCACGCGCCCGCCGCACGCCAGTCCGCGTATACACCTCGCACCGTCCACCTCCTATATTACATATTCCCATTCACTCACACAACATAAATTGGTAGTGATAGATTTGTGGAAGAGTAATTAAAATAGCGCTTGCTTAGTGCAGACTGGTTTATTGACGTCACATAGACGCAGTCGTCCGGCGACCGTTCCTTTTTAGGCAAAGTACACGCGCATACACAACAGGTAGAATTTACATTAAGAGAAAATATGTACCTAAAGGAAAAGCAATGAGAGAAAAGGAGTGGAGATAATGTTTACCTAAAGCAAAGAAAGACATTTTTCTTTCATATCCTATTCGCTAAATTACTTTTACCCTTCCCATTTTCTAATTAGAAATAGTTTAACTCTAGTACTCATGGGATGACATGAGGAAATATTTTCAATTTACGCCTAAACAAGAACTTACCATGAATCGAAGTATGAACCACCTGGGCAGGAACTGTTCGGTGCTGATGGCTCGCTTCGTCACCGCGAGGAGAGTTTCCACATCCGCGTTTTTGAGATGCGGGTACAAATAATCGAAATCAATTGGCTCATGTCCTAAAAAATAAGGGAAGAGTTATTAATTTGACCAAAGATAACACTGTATTTCAAAACAAAATAGAAATAGTCATACTCTGTAGAGCCTGTTGCACTGGGTCTAAGGACTCCGGATCCTCTGCTTTAAGTTCAGCTGCCAACTCCTCGGGGCCTATTACCTACACAAGTGTAAATATAAATAAAAACGAGAAACAAAAAAGTCTATGGATTTTGAAGTGTAAAAATATTGCATTACCGGAAATTTATTAAATTCCTACTATTAGTTCATAGACTAAGCATTATCTGAAAACTTAATAATACATTTGTATTAGCAATACTACTTATTTGCCTATATTCATTTGTATCTTCTATTTATCATAGTATATTATACTTGTCAATTTGTTTTATTTGATACCTATGTTAGGAATTAACTTAAAAATACTTGTTTTTGTTGCATTTTGTAGTTGAGAGTGGCATGTTTACCTGCATAATTTTAGATTTAACATTTGCTATTTGTGTGTCGAGCAGGGGCGTGTCTGCTGCGTGTGTGG